CCATTTATTCCTTTTCTCCTCTCCTTCTTGTCATCTCCCTCCTCCTCCTCCTCCTCCCCTTCTTCTTTCTCCTTACAGAAGACAAGTACGACATTGGTTAGGTGGGTCGATGTGGATTAGGTCAAACTAACTAACTCACTCACTCACTCACTCACTCACCTCACCACTCACTCACTCACTCACTCACCTCACCACCCCCACTCACTCACTCACTCACTCACTCACTCACTCACTCACTCACTCACTCACTCACTCACTCACTCACTTCAGCTACGACACAAAGATGAATTCTCAAAGGCTCGTATGTTTAAAATTTCTCACCTGCCTGGAGATGAGAGAAGGTGTTAAATTAAGGTAATTAACTCACATTACACAGACAGAAGGAGCAGTTTAAGATGGTCCTCGAGTCTTGAGTATAACTTGACGTGTTCTCTGGTACTTAACACTTGAAGGAGTAAAGAGGAGGATATGATGAGGATTTTTTTGGAGGGACGGAGAGACTTGTGAGTTATGATCTCACTGCCACAACAACTATTCACAACCACAGTCACTACAACCATAGCTACTATCACCACCTTTACAAGCCACCATCACCACAACCATCTACCACCATCACCACAACCACCACCATAAAACAACCATCTCTTAGAAAAACTACTACGAACACGACTGCTAAACATTCCAATTTATTTTCAGTAAGGCAACACGACAAGAATTTAAATAGTTAGATTATTCACAGTATGGCTGGAACGTGACTTAGTGTCCAGTGAAAAAAAATAAGACGAGTGGTTTAGAAATTTTACTTGTGGTACGGTTTTATTTATGTGAGTTATCCTGTTTCTGATATTCTTCTACCTCCTTCTCTGTTGGTCTTTCTCCTCTTCCTTCTCTTACATTTTGTCCTTCTTCCTCTTTCTTATCCTCGTCCTCTTTTTCCCTTGTTCTTCTCATCCACCATCTCCTCTTCAGCTTTCTTCTTTTCTATATTCTTCTCTTCTTCCCCTTCCTTCTCTTTTACCTCTTAATCTGTTTCTATTCCTTCTCCTCTTCCCCCTCGTCCATCGTCTCTTCCTCTTCTCCTTATCTCCCTTCCCCCCTACTCCGCCTCTCTACCCCCTCCTTCTCCTTCTCCCCTTCCTCCCTCACCAAAGCTATAGGCGCCACACGGATCGGCACTAATCTAAACTTTTCGCTTTCTCTTAAACTTCACCACACCTTAAGCTTCACCACACCTTAAACTTCACCACACCTTAAACTTCACCACACCTTAAACTTCACCACACCTTCACCACGCCATCGAGCTGAGACAAGAGGAGGAACCACCCTGCTAAATGAATGATGCAAGTTACCACAGTACATACAGCACGAGACCTAAATGAGTAGTCGTGTGAGAGGGAGGAGGAAGAGAAGGAGGAGGAAGAGAAGGAGGAGGAAGAGAAGGAGGAGGAAGAGGGAGTTTCAATAACTACTAAATATTCCTAAAAAACAAAGCAAAAAACGCGAATTTAATCATCGAAAAACATAGATAAAGGAGACCATAAAGATTAAAAAACAAAAGAATGTTCTCCAGGTAAAAAAAAATTAAAAAAAATTATTAAAAAAAGTAAAAAATATTGCAAAAACGGGATAAAAAAAAAAGACCCAAGAGATAAAAAAAAAAATTAATATAAAAAAGAGGACGTACCTGACTACACAAAAATTGGGGACGCACCCATAAAAGTTTTAAGTGATAGTAAAAAAAAAATACTTCAGAGTGACTTTTGGTATGGTCGTAGGGGTGAAAGTTTGTGATTTTCCACCCCGTAGATTGTAGTTTTAAGGGGTCATGTGTGTGTGTGTGGCAGTTCAGGTCTCTCTCTCTCTCTCTCTCTCTCTCTCTCTCTTTCTCTCTCGGGGGTTAGTTTATCACTGGCTTCTATTAACCCCGACACAAGTTCACGATGCAGACGCTTTTATGAATTACAAGCAGGCAACAGTATGTGTGTGTGGGGGGGGGGTCTAGTTCGGGGAGAGTGTGTGTGTGTGTGTGTGTGTGTATGGTGCGTCTTATATGTATGTAAAGTGCGTCTTGTATGGGTCTAAGGTGCGTCGCTTATGGGTGTAAAGTCCGTCTTTGTATGGGGGTAAATTCGAGTTCATAACTCCAGAACAATCCTCCATGGGGCTTAAATCTGACTCCTTCCCCCTAAAATACTTTCTTGTGGCTTAAATCCGATTTCATAACCCCCAAAATCCTTCCTTATGGCTTAAATCCGATTCCATAACCCCAAAAATCCTCCCCTGGGGCTTGAATCTGACTCCATAGCCCCCCCCCCCCCAAAAAAATCCTTCCTTAGAAATAAATCCGACTCCAAAATTCCACCACCAAAAAATCCTTGCTGGGGTTAAATTCAAGATCATAGCCCTAAACAGCGTGCTTGGGGGGGTAAATTTAACTTTAGTATCCCCCTAACACCGCCCTAGCAATCTACTCCACCGTTCTCGTAAGTTCTTCTCGTCC